GGATAAGCGGTACTGACCTCCACGACCTATTACGGTCTGCCGACTTTCCTCCATTTCGGGACGGCATGGCCACCGCCTCGGCCCAGAGCCAGAGTCCGGAGGAGATGCAGAGGCGAGATCCGTTAGCTACACAAGTCTGGAAGTTCTTCTCCCAGACGAAGCAACGCCTGCCCAACCAAGAGCGCATGGAGAATCTGACCTGGCGGATGATGCACATGAACTTGCGCAAGCAGAGGCAGGCCGACGCTTCCAGGTGAGTTCTGCAAAACAAACGTCGTCGACAGTTCGGGAGGGTGACAGCTAGCTAACTCAATGAACTTCAAGACAACCACAACGTCCCACGTCTTTCTCACAACTCAACGCACCGAGCGGCATTGCCCAGCTGCGCAAGACCTCGGAGCAGCATCTACCTCAGGGGGAGCCCATGAATCTCGACGACTTCATCCATAACGAAAATGTCGGCACGCCCGCCGGCCTCGCTCTCACCCCGACGCCGGAAGCATCACGGCAAGCCGACGACAGGCCCGTTCACATGACGAACACAACGACAACGACGTCCGCCATCCCCATCAAAACCCGCAAGGAGCCACCCCAGCATTTAGTCCCCCAGTCTGTACCAGTGCCAGCCCACCATCAGAGAGTTCAGGAAGAATTCGGCTACATCCCCCGGCATCCGCGTAAGACGAGCATTGACGAGACCAACAGACGTGTAAGTGTTTGCTCTTGCCTTGAATATGCATCACCTGGCCGTGCATCCTTTGCTTTGCTTTGCTTCTTTTGTCCCCCCATGTCTTATTACCTTGAGCCGACCACCGTGAAAATTTCTAATATTCTCAAATGTGGCGGCGTGCTCTGTGTAACAAATTGCTGCTTGATGAAGAGATTCTGATACCTTGTTGCTGTTTAGAATCGGAAGCGTCCCGCCAACTTCTCACCTCACGTTCCCGCAGTGAGCAGTGGGCTTGCAGCAAATGAGCTTGATGCGGATGCCGAGCTTCAGGAGTACTCGCTCGACCACTCAAACCAAACGGGCATGGCCCAGCCGCCCAATCACGCGGGGGTCCCCTTCCCGCTCGACACCTTCCACATGGAAAGCGACCCTATTATCACCTCCGCCGGCCCCTTCCAGCAGAACTTCTCTTTCTCACCGTCCACTTCCCCCATGGTCCCCCATGACCCATTTTCCGCAATGTATAACAACTCGTCGATGCCTTCAGGGTCTTTGCCCCCAGCAGATTACTATTCCCCCCCGGGATCTGCTTATCAGTCCAACGTTTCCACCCCACATCCTCTGAACGATGGCGAGGGCTTCTACTTCGGATCGATGGATATGCGCTACCCTCGTCCGCAGCCCTACAGGGCGGCACCTTCCAACTTGACCAATCCCTTGGGGCACCAATATCCCTATGGTGGCAACGGCAACTTGATGTTTCCAACATCTACTGCCGGTCCGGACCCAGCTTCGTTCACTGCGCCTGGTCCGTTTGGCCATATAGATCCCACCCAGGTGTTCCAACCCGAGCAGCCGGCACGCTCTCCCGGTGTGGGCTTAATGGCTGAGAATATGTTCTCGTTCGGCGCTGATTCGGACGTCGACGAGGAGGAAGGAGGCGCCTTTGCTGACCGCAACATCACCATGGCGCAAGATTTCTCACCCCAGGGTATAGAAGACTCGACCTTCGACAGCTCGTCTTTGCAATGGGACCCAAGTCTCCCCGGAAACTTCAACACGCAGGCAGCCAGATACCCCGGTGGCCCGCCGCGCAAACAAGTAACGATTGGTGGCGCGACGACTGATTATGTGGACTCGACTGGTGATTGGGAAGGAGGGAATCTCGGCAGGTCACAGTCGCAGTCTTTCCGCCAGAGCGACCGACGGCAAGGCAAGGTGCCGAGAACGTCATCGACGCCGGGCCTGGCAGGCCGAGTGAACCCTTACGATCGATTCGGTCAATCGACCCCGAACTCGCCACCAGCCGATCAAACCCTCGCCTCCGGCTTTTCATCCGTCGCAGCGAGCCGACCTTCTTCCCCTCCTCTCGGATCGAAGCATGGCTCAACCACGAACCTTCAAGGAGCCGCAGGCAATCAGGGAGACGGGAGTCCTCCGACAACGTGTACGAACTGCTTTACACAGACGACACCTCTTTGGCGTCGAAACCCAGAAGGCCAGCCTCTTTGCAACGCTTGTGGTCTGTTCCTAAAACTTCATGGTGTCGTCAGACCATTGAGTTTAAAGACCGATGTCATCAAGAAGCGTAATCGAGGCTCTGGGGCAACCTTACCGGTTGGAGGCACAAGTACTCGGTCTGCGAAGAAGAACGCTAGTATTAGCGGTCCATCGAATCCCAATGGAGCAAACACGAGGAAGAACTCGGTTCTATCTATGTCTTCGACCGGCAATGCCCAGTCGATTCAGGCGATCACGCCGCCAGCTCAAAACACGGCTGGCAGCGTCAACGATAGCGAAAGTCCCGCAAGTGGTCCGGCGTCTGGCGGCAACACAGCAGGAAGTACCCCCACAAGTTATCACGGCAGCGCTGGCTCCTCTAGTGTCGTGGCCGGTGGGAAAGGCGTCATACCGATTGCGGCAGCGCCTCCAAAGAGTGCCCCCGGGCCTGGGGCTTCCTCTCTTCCCCGGTCTGCTGCCATGAGCTCCAAGCGGCAACGGCGTCATAGCAAAACCGCCGGAGGTGATCAGTCTGCTGGCGGCATGGACATCGACAGCCCTGAGAGCTCCACAGGATCCAATGAGGCTGCGAGGTCCCTTGGTTCGAGCAACGGGTTTTCTAGTTTACAGACAAATCCCAACAGTAACATGGGTCTTGCCAATGGCTTTGGCATGACCCAACGCCCGTTGACCGGGCCAAGCAGCATGATGGGGCCCATGCCGGGTGGCGCTGGCCAGCCTACATCCGGACCGATGGTGGGCTCTGGCGGCGCTGGTGCAAGTGGGCAGGAGTGGGAGTGGTTAACCATGAGTCTCTGATTAATGTCCTTCGCTATACATATTCCCTCCAATTTTGGGTTATATACTTTCTGGGGAGAGTTTTCCCTTGAATCAGGGTGTTCTAAGGCTGGTTTACTAGCCACTGGAGAATGGAGTTTCGATTGGCGCAGTCTTGTTTTCTGTTCTTCTTTTGCATAGATACGATGGATTCATGACGCACTTGTTGCTTGTGTATGTGTGTGCACATGTGTGCTTCAGGCGAGCCACTACATTTTGGGGGTTCCTGCTTTATGAGGCTGACGAATCTCGCAAGCCAAACACCGTTAATAATTGAGACCCAAGGGGTGTCTCTACCTTGAGATGAGATAGATGAAGAGACTGGGAAGCGGGGAGTTAAGAACGGGGAGTTAGGGGGACTGGGTGTGGAGTTGGATAGTTGTGACTAATCGTGGCTGGGTTGGTGAGAAGGAGCTTCGAAGGGAAGAGGAAGGTTGAGGTGGTGGTTTCTAATCCCCCTTTGCGTCTTTTCCTCGGTTTATTCTTTTCTTTTCTCTTTCTTCATCTTTCTACGGACAGACGTGCACGGAATCGAGTTGTGATGATACCCCTACACTAACATATATGATATCTTATCTTAACTGCCATATCTTAGTACTCTTTGCTGCTTACTACTCTGACCGTCTACTCACTCTTTCTGCACCCGAGATTGCTTTTTCTTTTCTTTTTTTACCGTTGATGGGGATTTCTCTTCCTTCATTCGTTTCGTACCTCATACCCACTCACTCTTCGTACGGATGGCATATATATACACACTGGCTTGGTGTTTTGGGAGTTTAGACTTGGTTGGCTGATGGGGGGTGGGTGTTGGTTCTTCCCTTGAATTCTTCTCGGGTGATTGGGATCGCTGTTGGACTTTTGTCAACGAACACACACGCTGGTGGAAGATGGAACGCAATGAGACCCGAATGGAATGATGCTTAATGAACATAGAGTCGGCTGGGGCGGGTTGATGCAGGCCAGCAGACCTGGGTATGGCATTTGCGAGGGCGCGACTCCTCGTCCTATGTAATAGCGAAGTGGGTGGTGGTTCGGGTTCCCTACGGCGATTGGCATTGCTTTGCATCCGAGAGTTCAGCATTTGTGTTTTTCATGCTTTTGGTACACCAATACACGAATCGTACCACGCCTCTCTTTCCGTTCGTTGAGTTTCATCTGATGACTTTTTTGTTTGATGCTTTGTCAATCTGAAGTTCCGTGATCCAGCTGGTCTTATTCGCCTTTGATGCCTGTCTGCCGTTTTCATCCTCCATTTATTAGTCAGGTTTTCGGTCGGCTTCCTTCCCCAGTGTGCTCGCCCATTCATTTTATCTATTTCCAACCACGTTTAAGATTTATGGCAGTCTCACTCATGATCGTGTACCTCTTCTCTTCTTCGTTTGGGTTTGTTACATTTGCTAGCCTTTATATCGCAGTCATATAGGGGTGTATAGTATCTAGGAACACAGGCAAGTTATGTTGTGCATAGGGAGGGCAGCATATTGGACGGACATAAGGGGGTAGGTATTTAACGTACGTATACACGATAGTAATGGTAATCATAAACCACCCATCTACGTAGAGGGATCTAGCCTACCATTCCATCGTAGGCAGTAAAAGGAAAAGTGTCGACCACAACCAGGATAGATGATAAACAACTGACGGAATAATACTGGGGGGTTATAGATACAGAAAGCTCTTAGTGAATCAGCATTGCTACTCTGTAGCCTTTGCTGGTGGCTCACGTAAGATACTGATACCTAGATAGTGCTCGTCTACCTATATAATGCAATGCCCCGTTATCGTGCCCTGAGCCCTTCCGAGAGATCCAAGAAGGTACTCTCGAGTGAGGCGGTAAACTCATTTTCGCTGTGTGTGTTTGTGTACATGTTTGTGTCTCGCTCATTCCCAGTGTACGTCTTTTCATCACCTCATACCTTGTCGTCGTTGGTCAACTGGGCGGTTCCCATGACCTAAGTGGAGTTACCTACGTGAATCCACCATAAGTTACTAAGGGCGTGTGGCTCAGTTGGTAGAGCGTTCGCTTAGCATGGTTTATATCCTGCGAAAGGTCCTGAGTTCGATTCTTAGCTCGTCCATATAAAAACACTATCGTGATCACCTACGAATGTGGTTGATCTCATTTCTTTTTACAGATTGACTGACTCTAGCAATAGCTGCATTCCATTGCTAGCTGACATCTAAACTCTTGCCCACGTAGTTGTGCCGTTCTAGTCAGACGGCGTTTTGAGCCCTGATGAATAGCTCCCTCTTGGGACTTCTTGGTTATCTTTGACACACAAACAAGCTCAGGTTGTTGTAGTTCTGCCTTCCCATTACTTCGACACCGACCGGTACATACAGGAGAACTCTGGGATAACTTTGCCCAGGGAAGTATGTTGCAGCCCAGAAGCAGCACCGGCATTGGTACGAGAAGATACTTAACTTGTTTTAAATCCTCAGTGGAACTGTTGCAACCATAAGCTCGTGATTACCATGACACTCAACATATTCGTTACATGAGTTCGCGCGTTTACTTGAGCCCAGACTACTTGCTCATCCTCAGAGTTTCCCTCAAGCTGGAAACGACTCTTTTCGGCAGTCAGGACCTGGATGTTAGACTTGTCGTCTTCGAGATACCTCGAAACATCAAAAGGACTCTACGATAACCGGCCAGAAACCAGGGTCGATCCGTGTTCCTCCTTTTATTCACTTCTGAGCCGTTTTGGTCTATAACCCCCAGACAAATCGAAAAATGGAGTCTTGCTTACTAGAGTCTTTTTTTCTCGGTCGTGGCTGCGCTCATAATCTGCATAGGGGTGTTCAACTCAAGACTGTCACCACACATCCTGACATGGGCACACCGGCTTCAAGCCGGTCCTTGACCCTGAATTGAGTTCGCCTGTTCTCCTTGAAGAGGCAGGGGGGAGGAAATGAGGAAGAGAATGGGTCTACTTAAGATGGACTATTTGTGTAACCCTGACAGAGACATCCACTGACTCAGTGCCTCTCACCCCGTCATAATCAACCCATCGTATCACGTCCTTCGGTATCAAGTTCTTAACCCGCAAGAAAGCTGGGGTGTTCACATCAACCTACTGCCTCTCAAACCTTATACGGGCAAGCCAACCCCCCAATATCCCAGCATACCGCCAGATGGCACGATAGCCTTCTCTTCGACCTGAGCCCTAAGGTTGCTTGCTTAAGTATAACCAGTGCTAACAGGGGGGTAAGAAAACGTTCTTAAATGAGTCCGAGACAAACAAAACAAACGCCATCACGAAAACTACAGCGCAACTATCGTGATAACTGTTGACGATAATACTAACAACACAGAAGAGGCAGCCCACAAAACCAAACCAATCAAACCAATCGCAGAGGCTAATGTAATTTAAACAAGAGACAATAATTAGCAAGCAGTTCTCGTCCCGAACCCCTTTCCAAAAAGGAGAAGAGAAAAAGAAAAGGAGACGCTGGGAACGGGTTTCTCCAACTTCGTATCTACACACACACCCGTACGTTCTTCCTCGGGGCTGAACTCGCTGGTAGAGATAAACAACATGTCTCGGGACCAATCGCTCAACAGGGCTGAAACATCTCCAATCGTAGCAGAGCTAGAGAGGAAGTAAGAAGTCCTTTTCCACGTGGGCTCACGTTGTGGACGTTCGCGTAAAGTAAACCCCTAATGGGGTGCAGTACGTATGCACATACCTACAACGAATAGCACACAGCGCACAGCAGCGGGCGGCATCGAAGACCCCATTGAACGCCACCACAATGGGTGTGTGTTGAAGAACCCGTATACCGATATGCACGGAACGGTTTGCAACATCCAGTTTGCGCGTCACCGTCATCATCATCGCTCGATTTCCACCACCGCTTCGGAATGGAATAGGGAGCAAGTGACACATTGAGACACTGGACAGCTTTCCAATTGTCCAACAAGGCTCGTTTGAAGGTCGAGGGACCGTATCGACGGGCTTGACCGGCAAGGCCAACATGCGAGGAGGAGCTCTTCAGGTCTATTGCCAAAATGTTCCCGAGTGGTAATGACAGCACACTAATAGCTCACATTACAACACATAGCTTGGAGATCTCCGATCTAGTTAACCCGCGGCGGCAAAGGAGAGACACGGGCGAATAAGATAGGCCACGGGAGGACAGGAACCGTTATGACATCGAAAAGAGAGGCAAACAGGCCTTGGTCAGGTATATTGCAACTGGGCCGTCCATAATGACGATCTGTGTTGGCAACACCCGCCTGACGAAAAAAAGGGTTAACTCGTCAATGCCGTTTTCTGCCTACGCACAGCAATGTATTAGCCGGTAGAAACCTCCCGGGAGACAAACGTCGATATCCGGAGTCGGGGAACAAACTAAACAGCTGACAAACATGCTGCCGTTGACAACAGACACACACAAAGATAAACAATAAACGAGAGGGAAAAGAAAACAATACAGAGCTAGTAAGCTTGCGTGGCAAGCATCCCCGTCTGATCAATGCAAAGTGTTGCACCACGCCTTCGGCGCGTCTCAAGAACGCAGGCTGCCGGAACTTGGTAAGACGGGCGGGATGCAACGCGGCAGCCCATGTTTGAGACAGATTGGCCAATGCCCACGGACTTGCCAGAGACCTGATAACGTCTCGAAAACGATTGACTGCCATCTCCTTTTCATCAACCCGGGAAGTCATTCTGCGCTGTCACCCTCCGGCCTGAACTGGCAGGCGCCAACCGAAATAGCATCGTGATGCTGGAGCTTGTGAAGTCTAGAGAGTCTAGAGAGTCTTGATAGACGGCGGCTGGGCTTGCCTGTGACATATTACCACCAGGTACGGATATTGGCCATGGGCAACACGGACGCCGTTCACTCATGTCGTCTCACGATCAAACCCTCGAAGGCAGATACAGTGTAGTGTACTGATCGGACCGGCGCGCGCGGTTGCGGCTGGTTCCTGCAGAGGCGAGGACCCTTCCTGTTTTCAACGACAAGTCACTTGCCCGATACCTCTCATGATTTGCCCACCAAGGTCCCATCAAGTTGGGTCCCTTGGCCTAGCCTCGTCCGGGGAAACGACTCTCGATAAGCTGCGTGGGTGGTGATCGCCCAAGGGGTGGCAACGGTTCTTGCATTATGCGGCGAATGTACATTTTTGGCAACATTTGCGACATCAAATATGGTGCAGGACGACCCAGTTTGAAGGGGTCCAGACCGGATTCAGCTCCCAAGGAATAGAGTGAATGCGAAGTATAGTGTTGTTGGGGTCCTTTGATCGCCTGGCACGCCTGGCAATAATGCCATGCGGGTATGGTGTAAAGTTGGTACAGATCTCGCACAAGTTGGCCGAGCTTCTAGTATTGGTCCAAGTGGCAACCGAAAAGGGCTGTGAACTGCAGGATGGCAAGAAACACTGGATCCAAACTTGCTTGGAAGATATCAAACTGCAAGTGCCTCCGTAGGTAATACCTGGATAGGCGTCTCCGCCTACCTTGTACGGCAATCCGATCTTGTTTGTTCGGTACTGGAGCTGTCACATCTTTCCTGACACCATAAACAGTGGTCAGTGGTCTCAACTGCAGGAGATGCCAGCCTCTGACAAGGTCGTAAGCTGCAGGCCAAGCAACTTCTCCCCCGGACACTGACACTGACAGAGTATCCGTATCGTGATGCGATTCGTGATGCAGATTGGTGTTGATCGCTGTTGGCCAACGAATGGCAGTTGTCCAAGCCAACTTCTGACTTATTGACAAGGCTGATGTTATTTTTGAGGCTCTTTGCCCCTTGTACGTCTTGTAAGTGAGCATACGTACTCCGCACCGCCCACTGTTACCGATAGGTATAATCCGTACTGGACCGAGCTTTGGGGTTTTGGGACATTTAGATCTTTCTCCCGGACATTTCGCGCCGCCCGGTCAGTTCGCGGCGCAATCCATCTTTCTCCATGTTCCTTCAGCACGGGGGCCGCGCAAACATGCAAATGGTGTTTCGAAGGATGGGATTCTTCCAGCCTTGCCAGAAACGCTCATTTTATTCCACTGATTGCAAGCATTTCATTCAGCATTGTCATTGGCGCGGAGGGTTTGCAGCGATTCTTTCCATGCAACCTGTTGACGCGACCTCTCCTGAACCGTGCGTTGATACTCAAGGCCCAATCCCTGAGTGTCGACGAATTAAAGTGAGGTCGGTACTGATGTATCTGTATTCGTGCACTCCCTAGCCTGTAGCCATGGATAACTGCCGACGGACTTCTTAAATCTCTTAAAAGGGGCCTCAAGTTGGAAGGTGGTGGATTTGACTAGAGCAGTGACTGACTCGCAATGCCGGGTGCAACAAAAGCTCTAGCGACTCGACGGATGGACGACCAAGTTCGTTGACGACTGCAAATATCACCAACACACTCATGGGGGGCTTCCGTGCGGACTGGTCGGGCTTTGCGGGTAAAAACCCCTGCTCATAGGAGAATGCCATAAAGTCGCCGGTCAATTGAACTATGTGCCAATTCGGTCAATGGCATGCTGTTTGTATATTGGGCCGCCAGCAATCGCGTCTCGCAGCTTGAATTGGCCAGACTCTGACATATAACCGTGCCGTGAGTTGAGCAAGCCTTTCTGTTGGTCAAGTGAGAATGTCATCGCTGGACGCTTCGGTCGTTCCATTAATTCAGGTACATATATGCAGCAGGGGAACTGGTTTGAGAGTGTCAATTTAGGTGCGTGTCGAGAGAGGCTTTCGACAACTGTGTCATTGGGGTCTGGCATTACCATGGGTGTCTTGTGTGTCCCAGCAGGAGCAATTCATTTGAAATATTCAAAGGAAAGAAAAGGCACGTTTTCGGGAGCCCGCCAAGGCTGCCAGGGCTCCCAAATGCCCCAGCTCCTTTATTGGCTTGTGGGTTCAATGGGCTGCTGGGGAAGGCTCAAGGCTGAACCTCAGAAGTCAAGGCCCGCCATGTGCGTCATTCTTCCGACAAGCCCCACGGCCAGATCCACTGGAAATCTGCACGGCAGGAAGCCACTGCCGCTACCGAAAGAGTGCGTGGGCGAGCCCGGCAAGAGCCAAGACCACCACCAGAAGAGATCACGAGCACGCCTCAGCACGG